TGGCACAGGCGAGCGGCTGAGACAGCTCCCCTCTCCCCTCTTCTTCCAGTTCCTCTGCCACGTCACGTCGGTGCGAGACCAGTCATGCATCCCTTGCGAGGAGAGGGTGAGTAGCGTCGCTGGCTGGAGGGACTTCCTGCTGGCGGCAAATCAAAGTTTGGGAAGCAGTGTTCATTCATGCGTTTTATTTCCTTGTGCCTGAACGGGAGGAAGTGGCTGTTGGGTAACACCCCAGGTTTACTCTCTTCCCCTTTTTCCCTCCCACCCCTGGTCTGGGGACGGCGTTGGGCACGGGGAAGTGAAACTCCGAGGGGTGGCAGGACAGCAGGTTGCTGGAATGTTTCTCAAACACTCCGTGCCGCAGCTTTAATGCTTCCAAACCACCAAAGATTTGCACAACTGGATGGCTGGGATTGCAGGGTTGTGTAACTCCCGCTTACAGCGGCCTTGGTTCTTCCTCGCTCGTTAGTCACCTCCTGGCTATTAAGCAGCCGGAGCGGCTTATCTCGAGGGAGCGCGCGCTCTCTGATTAGCGCCTGTTTCCATAGAAATGCTGCAAGTTGTTGACTTGCTGCCTGCGTCCACGGGGGAATTACCGCTCCTCTGGGCTATGAACTCTCCGCTGGAGGATCTTTTTAGCGCAATTTTCTACTTGTAGAGCACTTAGTGAGGCTTTGCTGCTGTAAAAAGAACCCGAGAGGGTACATGATGGGGGTGGAACAGAGATTCACGGAAATTATTGACTATTTCATAAACCCCTGCTTTGCTCATCTTTTTGGCTTTATTGTTTTCTCAGTCAGCAGATTTCCAAATCCTGCCCAGCAGCTGTGGGCACGCGCGGGATGCCTACGCGTTCGGAACAACGGTGGAAAACCTCCTGACGGTCCTGAACGATCAGGGTGAGGAACGACAGGCGTCGGTTTCGCTGTCGACGGGCCTGTGCCAATTGTCGGCAGCTGACGGACGTGCTCTGGGTTAAAATCCGGGCTTTGCCTGCGTTCCCCTCTGCCTGCGGTCGGATGCGGCCTGCAGGAACACAAGCGCTCCCAAATCTGTGCTGCGGCGGTCGGGAGGGGGCTTGGAGGACAGCAGCAGCCCTTGATATCCACGAAGCCTAGGGAGAGAGGTGGAAAGGCTGTTCTCCCATCCCTTAGGGACAGACACGAGCAATTCTGCCATCAAATAGACTTCTAGAAACAAGTTTTTGGGTGGGTGGAGGACTCCTGAACATAGTTACGTGCAGTTTTGAGAGAGAAACCTAACGGCAGGCACTCTGGCTTTCAGTTTCAGGGGATATTCTCTCCGGCTTTCAGCAAACCTTGCGCTGTACGCTGCTGAATCCAGACCCCAAGTGTCGCCCACCGCTGTCCAGCCTCTTGTCTCACGAGTTCTTCAGGTAAAGGGAAGGAATATCCCGACCCTCCTGGCATGTTTCTGTGCCTCACGTGCGTTGATTGTGCGGAAGGCGTTAATGTCGGGCGGGAAGCGCAGACTTAATCCCTGCCTTTTAGGGGGGTCTGTGACAAAGATTGCCTTAAATTAAGCTCCCCAAGCGCATGGGAGGTGGTGGGAAATCCTCTGGGGAAGAAAACATGGCGCAGCTCTTGGCCCACCAGCATTTGTCCCGCATCCCTCCACCTGGCAGGGGTTTGCAGTCTCTTAGTCGTGGGTGGGTTAACCTCACTAAGGATCACGCCTGCTGGTTTTGTGCTTAGGAACGATTTTCTGGAAGTTGTGAACTTCCTGAAGACGTTGACACTAAAGTCCGAGGAGGAAAAAACTGCGTTTTTCAAGTAAGTGAGGAAACTGTCATGTGGGAAGTGCTTCTGCCGGATGGGATGGGGGAACCTGGGAGGGCTGACGGCCGGAGCGGGAGTTCCTCGGCTGCCTGATTTTGATTGCTCTGGCAGAACATTGTTTGCTCTCTCGTATTTCAGCTTCTCCAGCCAAAGTAGCGATGGCATCAGAGCAAACTACTCCCTCCCTCCTTTCCCGCTTGTTTTGTCGCTCGGGAGGAGCGGTGCCTGCCGGGCTCCGCAGCGTTCTGATACCTGCCGGCCCCTGCCACGCCGCTGTCTGTGTTCTAGTTAATTCACTCTGTGGGGCACAAAGCTGGTGATATTGGCACAAACTGAGCGATTCGGGTTCTCTTCCAGGCGCTCTAGCAGTGAGGGAGACGTAGCACCCGGCCCCTCTCGAGGCTGCACGCCCTTCCCCTTTAGGCAGCTCCTGTAAGAGCACGAGTGGGGTGCATTAACCTTGGGCTGCCAGCGTGGGCTGGGGAAGAGCTGGTGGGTGTCTTGGCTGCAGTAGCACAGCATCCTGTCGTTGCTCCCAAGAAGGTTCCTGTAAGGGAAGCTTCCTTGCTGTCACGGCCTTATCTGAGCCTGCAAAAGGGAGGTGGTGATCTTTTTAAGCTATTTTTCCATATAAAAGAGCCTGGCTGTTCTCCGAGGGCTATTTTCTGCCTCTCTTGCACTCCCATGATCAACACTGGTTTGATTCCACCGGGTTGGGACTAAGGGGCGGGAGGGGATGGATCTGTCTCTAACAGCAGTGTTTACCAGGGGAGGGAACAGATACTGTGCTGCAGGACGGGGCAGTTGCTGGCTCCTCCCGGCCTAGAGAAAAGCTGATTGTTGCACAAAATCAAACTCTGACTTAAACAAACGACCCAGGCGCTGTAGACCACCTCTGAAGTGTATCACACGGAGAGGGGAAACCTTCACAAGTGGGCTGCAGCGGTGCCTCGGGATGTGCTGTGATCTGTGGTGGGGGCTGATGGGCTGTGCCTCTGGCTCCTGCTTTGCTGGAAAGCCTCAGGCAGGAGCAGAGCGTGGTCCTGCTGGGTAGTGTGAACGCAGAGCGGGAGGATGTGACAGGGCTGTGTTTCTAGGAGATGGGGCAGACGTGGAGAGGAAAGCGATATAAAAAGGGACACGGTTGTAAATGCATAGAAGGTTGACGTGATACTAACTGCTCCCTCCTGGAATGCAGATTCCTGCT